AAAAAAAAAAAAGTAATTTTATTGGAATACACGAGTTTTCTCTTTTCAAAATCCGAATAAATGCCGTATTTTGGCTGTAGTGGTGAAACCACCAGTACCTTTCCCATGTATCAGCCACGGGCCCCTTGCCGCAGCTTTTGGAGGCCCAAAACAGAACACCGACCGCCAATTAACTATGTCAATGGCGGTCTGGCCCTGAGAGTTGCCCATGTTAACCACCGTGTATTTACGCTGGACCCAGTTTCCAGCAGGTGGCGCTCCCCATCAATAGACAGGAGAATGTGTGCGCGCGCGTGTGTGTGTGTGTGTGTGTGTGTGTGTGTGTGTGTGTGTGTGTGTGTGTGGGGAGAGAGAGAGAGAGAGAGAGAGAGAGAGAGAGAGAGAGAGAGAGAGAGAGAGAGAGAGAGAGAGCTGCAGCATGCAGCATGTCAGTGGCGGGGAGCACAAGGGCAGGCGCTGACCTCCAAAGAAAAAAAAGAAGTAATTTTATTGGAATACACGAGTTTTCTCTTTTCAAAATCCGAATAGAAAGGGTACTTGTTATATTCGAATACAATGTGTATGTTTTCTATTCGAGGAGCTATTCGCGAAAAGTGCCCCTGCACCGTTTCAATTTTGAAAATGGCTTGAGGACCTCGGCCTCCTACGGGCAGCTACCGGTCTTACGCGGTCCTGGCCCTTGCAAGGCCCCAAAACCTCAAAATGCCCACCCTCCCGACGACCACCGACGTTGAAATTTGATTGACGTTGAAATGCCTCAGGGGGGGAAAACGCAACCCTGACGGGCTGCGAACAGCATCAGCCAGCTTAGCTTACAGCCTTGCGCCTGCATAAAGTCTTGTAGACTTTCCAGTTTCCTAAATTGTGTACCGCATATCCTACACCACATGAGATAACACTGAAGTCGAAAACTAGCATCCTAAGCAGCCCAGGGCTGATATAAAATACTCTTACTCATTCAAATGTACGGAGAACTGTCTTGTCAGGCTCATACATCCATACTAACTACGCTACTTAATTGGGACTAGACTAAGACTAGTCTAAGACTAGTTTGGGACTATCACGGCCCAGAGGAACTCGTCCAAGCCCAACCGCGACCCTACGTAACCGAGTGCTCTGGTTAACCACAAAGACTAACTTAAACGTGACTTCCTCATTTGCCTTCTTGCTTATTGTTTGTCGCAGCTGGCGCGACCTCCAGGACCCATTTCGAAATCACCAGCCCTTTCCGAGAGTGTACTGACGCCAACTTGTTGTTCTTCACCCAGGTGTGGAGGAACCAGTACAATTGGCGTCCGCTCCCTGTGCCGGACCTTGCCTTCTGCCTCCAATCTACCCAAATAGCATGTTTCAGCCTTTGCTTAATGTGGCGTTTGGTCTCCAAATCGGAAAAGGGGCGTTTCTCGAAACGTGATCTGTTTTTGTCCATCCAGATCGTCTCACAGATTAGGCCCCTGACTACGTGAGCCACGTAGCCCCATCCCTGATGGCCCTTGACGCTCTTCGGTAGGAATCCCGGCAGAACCCACCTTTCTATCCATTCCACTCCCTGGCCTCCGAACTCCCTCTAGTGGTGGGCCCACCAGTTCCATATCCTCTTCGATGCGGGGCATCGAAGAGGAAGTGCTTAGTGGACTCGAAGGGTCATCTGCACCTTGTACATGCAAGATCTACCTTCAAGCCTCTGCTTGTTAGCCAGACTGCTGAAGGGGAGACCATTAGCGAGAGCAGCAACAATAGGTTGACTTGCTTGCCGTTTGGGAGGGAGGACAGGATACTCCATAGCCTTTCAAAGTCAGACTTTGACTCCAATACGTCCTCTTCGCACACCGCTTGCCACCGAGGGATCGCCACCTCCGCTGGTGACTTGAGTTTCTGCATGTATTGCTTGTACCCAGACGCCACCGTGTATTTGTGCAGGACTAGGGCCTCCTCCTCTGGGGCCTTGGGCACCCATGTCCAAGTTGTCGGATCGATGCTGAGCTGATTGAGAGGTAGCCTTCCCACCCAAGTGAGGGTACGGGCCGAGGGGGACCTGCTGCAGATTTCCACCACTCGAGCCTGTGCTGGGTTGTCCCAGAGTTGTACCGTAACTTCCTCTAACAGGGACAGCGTGTTCTCAGGGCCCGAGCATTTCCACCTTTTTATCCTTCTGAACCCACTCGGGAGGATCTCTAGCAACTTCCACAGGACCAAATCTTCTTCCCTCTCTTGTTGTGGGACGTACCAAGTGTCAGTTGGGTCTGAACCCTCCGGACCTAATATAGCCTTCCACTCAAGGGGGAAGGCGTCGATCAATGCCTTCCAGTGAGCTTCAACCCCTTGCAGGCCTCTGAGAACTCCTTTTCCTTCACGCAGAGGCTTCCAGCTTCCCAACATGGAGGACCAGAGGTTGGCGATTCTAACTATACCCTTCCTCACCCAAACTCTACCGAATGAGCCCGCCGAGCCATCCGCCAGGAAGACCGCACCGGTGAAGTCTGTGATCGCTTGGTTTTCAAACAACAACTGCTTCAGGACCTCCTCCTTGGAGGTCGGAGGATTCAACACTTATGGAGGAAGGCGATGCCATGCCCTATGAATAGGTTCCCAAAAACCAGACTTGAGTTTTTTTTTTCGAAAAGATGGAATGAAGAAACAAGCCCAGACGTCTTGGGGTCTACTCAACTCTCATTCATTCATCAGCAGTCTCTCCACCACGGTGACCCAGTGTTCTCTGGTTTTCATGGTTGCCACCTTTACCACCCAATTCCTCAGTTGAGCCTGACTTCTTCTTGCTGGATCCAATAGACCTAGTTTGCCCTGTACCCTTGGGAAGGTGAGCGTGTCATAAGCCACTTTGGACAGGAACCCCTCAGATTCTTGGGTCCGAGGTTTCTAAATGAACCGAGCAATCAATCTCTTGACAGCGTTCACTGTTCCTTTGGCCAACTCCTTTACCGTGGACACAAACCACATGATTGAAAACAAGGCCACATTGACCACCAGAGCTTTACCTATAACTGACAGGTGTCCTGTGTGGTTCCACATTCTCAGTTTGGCGGAAATCCGTTGCTGCAAAATTAGTCCCTAGCCAGATATATCTACTTGCAAACTGATTAACACTCCCAAAAATCTTTCTTCTTCCCCTATGCCCACCCTTCTCATGCCCCATTCGACCTTCAACCCAAATTGCGTTGGGAGCAAAAAAAATGGATTTATTCCAATTCACCGTTGCTTCAGACAGCGATAAGTACTCGCCCAACACCAATTTGATTGTTGTCAAGGAGGCCTCTATGTTCTCACTTATGCTAAACAGGTCATCTGCCAACGCCTTGACTTTACACTCCTCTCCTGTGTGAAGTCGGAGACCTCTGATGTCTGGGTGTCTACGCATCCTGTTCAGTAGGACCTCCAACTGCAACACGAAGATGAGCGGAGCCAGCAGTCAGCCCTGCTGCAGTGACCTTGAGAGAGCGAAAGGTGCCGACAAATGTCAATTGATCATGACCTCCGAGGTAGAAAAGGTATATAATGCTTTGGTCCATGCGCAGAAACCTTCTCCGAAACCCATCCACCTCAGCGTAGTAGTAAGGACAAACGACCATCCCACTTTATCATGCGTTTTCTCCAAGTCTACGAGAAGGACTGTCATATCCAGCCCCTCGCTTTGCACTACTTCCAACGTCTCGATCGCCGTGACGATATTGTTGAAAATTAATCTTCCTTTTACAAAGGCGCCCTGATCCCCTTTCACTAACTCCGGTAAGTACTGTGCAAGCCTGCGGGCCAGTGATTTTGCCAGGATCTTGTACGACACATTCAGCAGAGAAGTTGACCTCCAGTTTTGGACTTTAGTCTTATCCCCCTTCTTGAATAGTACCGAAATTACACCGTGAGTCATCCCCTTCCCCAACTTTCCACATGTCAGTAACTCATTGTACAAGTCGACTAGCTTGGGTCCCATCGCTTCCCAGTTAGCGGAGTAGAATTCCACCAGGAGTTCGTCCACCCCGGGGGATTTACCTTTCGCCATAGACTTCAACGTTTGCATAGTCTCCTCCAATGCGAGCGGACGGTCCAGGGCTAACCTCCCAGTTATTTGCAGCTTCACCTTCGTGTCAGTCCACATGTCTGATTCCTCTGTCAGGTCCGTGGTCCCGCCATCTTGCGGTTGTCTGGTGGCGTACTGCAACATACCTGAGGCCGAGCAGGCTGAGGGGGCTGCAGCGTCGAACGGGTGCCTAAGTTCCACCATCTGCAATTGAGCTCTACGAGGTTGCAGATTTTGAAAGGTCTCCTTGGCCATCTTGTCGTTAAACTCAATGCCCTTTATCCTCAAGATATCACTCCACCTTTTTTGTTTGTCCTCCTGCAGCTTGTCCCATTCCTTCATACGTCTTTCCCTTTCTTCCGCCCACACCATCACCGAAATGGGATGTCCATCCAATCTCTCCTCTTCGTCCTCCACTCTCCGCTTGCACTCCGCCTCTCTCTTGTTCCTCTCCCTTGCCAGTATCCTGGAGATGACGTCAAGAACCCCTGATGTAATGGCAATGCCACCATCCAGCCAATCTGCCGTAGCCTCAAAGTGACCCCTCGCACGCTCCCAACTTTGCATGTGCTTTGACACCCATTCGCTCGCCCCAGGCTCTTTAAGCACCTCGTTGTTAAGGCGGAAGAAACCTATTCCTTTGGAGTTGTCTATCGATAGGCAGATGTCAGCGATAACCGGCTTGTGGTCCGAAAGAGGGCTGCATCGCAGTCTTACTGACGTGCAGCGATTATGGATTTCCTCTCCCATCAAGAAAAAGTCCAAACGCCTCCTGGTTATTGCCTGCCTATCCCTGAAGAGATTTGAGAACCAAGTATAACCGGGATCACCGGGATTCAGCATCGGGAACGGGTCCACCACTACCAGCTCCGTGCACAGTTCCAACAGTGCTTTCACATCACTTCTGTCTGCATAGAAAGATTCGCTCCGCAAGGCTTCATCCAGGGACACGTTCCAGTCCCCCCCTATGACCAGCTTGTCTGCAGGCGGGACGTTCATCTCCAGTTTCGAGAGAAACCTCGATCTCTCCCCCACGTCTGTTGGCACGTACACCGTCATGAATAGTCATTCCTCATTCGTTATCAGCACCTTCATCCCGGCCCACCTCCCCCAAATGTCTGTTTCCACGTCTAGCACGGTCGCTTGTAGGTCGCGGTGCAACAAAATACAGACTCTGCCCCTTGTTCCCTAAGTTGGTGCCCTTATCTGTGGGCCCTCCCACCAATGAGCAATTTCCCTATTCTTCGTGTCATTCAACTTTGTTTCTTGCAGCATTACACAATTTTCCCTGCCCTCGTGTAACCAGGACTTCAGTCGTCTCCTCTTGTCCCTCCCATTAGAGTCCCCGAGGCCCCGGAAGTTCCATGTTATGACTCTCAACCTATCCATCAGTGCGAGTTGTTTCCACGTTAGCTTGGATGCGGATTGAACCCTGAGCGGCGGACTGCGACTGCCTTCGAGAAGAGTTCCTCGACTTCTGGATCCTCGAGCTTCCTCTGGAAGAGCTGTCATTTTTCTGTCAATCTGGCTATCGGGAATTCTGAGTGAAAGTCCTCCTCCTGGAGCAGTTTCTCATTGACTGTTATCAGCGCAACTGCGGACACGCTAGGTAACATCCGAATGGAATCCAACTCGGTGGCCTGATCTACTTGGATCAGACTGTTGTGGTACCAGAGAAATCCAGCCTGCGCCAGGACTTCGACCGTCTCAGCAGGTATGCGTGCATCTAATAGTGGGAATTATATCTTCATGTAACCCTCAACTGTCTCACAGATAATGCTAGCCATAATAGAATGTGGGATGATCCTAACTGGCACGTGTTCACCGTATAATCTTCTAGTAATTTCGAGGATTTTAGTTGGAGAAGGGGAGCAGTCGACCTCAGCCGACGGGAGGAACGGTTGCCCTTCCCCATCTGTAGTTGCAAGGAAGAAAACACCCCTGTCTGTATGTGTGCACAGCAGGGGAACCAACCATCTTTGCACCGATTCCATATGATTTATTTCCACTGCCTCTGCTCTCCTATTTCTATCTGACACTTTCCTTGCTTCGACGTCTTGTTTTCGACCCGAACCTGCTGAGTTGTCTAACGATGAGGCTGATTTCGGTCTTCCTGCATCATCGCGTACCTCCTCACATTCACTTCCCCACCTCACTCTTGACTGGGAGGTGATCGACATTTTCGACAGTTCGTCCCTCAGTCGAGATACGTCTGGTTGGGGTCTCCATGGTTCCAGTCCTCCTCCCCCTTCGGCCACCTCCTCCTCCTCTCTAACTGGTGTGAAGACGTGACTCTGTCCCTGTCTCCAAGATTTGGTACCGGCTCCTTTCTGTCTCCAGTTTTCCTCCTTCCACAAACTCCAGTGCGAGGTGGAACTGCTTTGTCTTCGTCTGATTATGGCACCTCCTCCATCCCACCTAGTCCCTTCGTAATGTTGAGATCCTCTGTCTGGCGGAGGAGGGACCGGATGTCTCCAATCGTAACACTCAGATGGGTATCCTGGTTGCGGTTGTTCTACCTGGCACTGACCAACCTCGTATACATCACTGCGCTGTTGGACTGGTTGTAACTGATATTGCTGTTGATAGAACACCCCCTCCTCCGGAAGCCCGTAAAGGGGGGGGATTCCCTGCCGGTTCAGACTGAACCCTCCTCATTCCATGGGCACTTCTCTGTGCGAGAGACCCCTGCCTCCTGGCCAATCTTCCCTTGGTTGCCAGGGGGGTAATAGCGGTGGACCTGGGCCTCTGATTGGTTTATTTCTCCAAGCTTGGTCCCTGTTCCACTCAGGAATTATCCTTTGAGGCTCAGAGCCCTATCTGAGCACGTCCTGTCGCCAGCGCCCATCTTCCACCCCTCGGGGGAGATGTTGGTACCCCCCTGATGCGCCTCCCGGTGTAGCTCTGTTGCTGAACTCTTGAGGAGGTTCCACCTGGCCTTGGGGCTGCTACCACGCCGGAGCTGCATTCGTGCTCCGTTGTCTCTAACTATCTTGATGGGATGAGTGTAAACTCTGTCGAGACGCGCATTTGAGATCCCCCTGTGCTGCTTATGGAGGTGGAGCTGGTCCCTAGGACCGGGCTCTGTCCTCTCCCCTTCTCGCTTCCTCCCTTTCTGGTATAGCCTGACTCAGGATAAACTCTTGAAAACGCGCTCTGTGTCCACCCTGGCGGGCACCGTTTACCTTGCGTCCCTCTTCATTCTGACGTCGTGGGCAGTTCTCCTCCGTATGATAGTACCACCTACACCGTCGGCACCAATCAGTGTAGGGGGACACTATTTATACTTTCCACCTTTCGCCACCTGGAGACTCGATTACTAGTTCGTCGTCGATCCGATACCGCGAATCTGACGGCATGTCAAATTTCACATTCATCAATTTTGGCCAGTCCCTGTCATACTCCGGGTTGTACATCGAAAGGACCTCCCCAAAGATGCGCTTGATTGCACTCAACAGGTAGTAGTATGCATCCAGTGGCACCCTCAGTGCCATGATCCAAAACTTCGTAGCCGCTTCTTGTATGCGGGCGTTCTGCAACTCTAGCTTGGACAGACGCGGTTTGAAGAGGACTGAGTACTCCTTTTGCTCCAGTTTGATTTTCAGTTCTCCCTCCTGCAATAGTCAGTCAGCAATTTCTTTGGCCTTAGCCACGTAGGATGCGACATCCGGCCCTTCGAACTTCACTCGGCCCCGCCTTATCCTCGGTTCGAATAGTCGCTTAGCCGTCCACCCGTCTTCGTATGCCCGTATCATATCTTCCTTGACTTGTCTGGTCAGGTTCCAAGCTTCCCCCTCCAATATTACCAAGACCGAACGTTCCTTTAGGAATAGATCCTTCACCTCATTGACCATTCCATTAACGACAAACCTCTTCCCTTCGCCATCCTCTACGACCTCTCCTAGATATAAGTCGTCAGGGCATACCCCTTCGTCATAACATCGGTTCACGGATTCCCGTAACCTGGACCGGTTTTCTTCTGCAATGAGGGGGATAGGACGCTGCTGGGTCGACCCCGCCCCCGGGACCCCTGCCATTGTTGCCATTGCACACCAGATAGCTCTCTCGTATGTTGTAAGCGGCCACCTGTGTTTGGTGAAAACTAAAGAATTTACTGGGACTGACCTCTATTGAACGTACTCAACCACACATTGCAAGAAGGGGAATTACCTGCCCCGGACACTTATGCCCGGCGACTGATGCACGAGCGTAAGGACTTCCCTCGCTACAACCAGGTTTTTACCCTACCTATCATTGCGAACGGGACCCTCCAACTCGGATTGACCTTCGCATTCGGACTCTCATGCTACTTCGATTCACTTTGTTGGTAAGGAAAATAAACCAGGACTGCATCTTCACTCAGAAAAACATTGCTCGCAAACATATGAACTTTGTCGCTGTCTGCGTTGGAGTTCGGCAGTTACCGACGGAATTCGGAATTCAACAATTATCGCGGGTGTAGTTGTCCCACACCAGCTGATACCCTCCTTTAAATGCCTCACCAAGATAACTTTCCTTATCGATCAATTCGATGCGTGCCATCTTCGTTGCCCATGGTTGTTACCGAGATACCTTTCTTCCTCCGTCCGATGTACCTCCTACCAGTTACCCGGAGGCCGTCTATTTGCCCATTATACATCACACGACCAGGTAACCCAACCCCGAGTGAAACAGTATACTAATGGAGCTTACGTCTGTTCTCCTCCCTTCCCCCGACAAAATTGCAATTTCGAAAGTGAACAATGGCGACTTTGTCGGCTAGATACCTAACCACCGGTTGCCAATCCCGACCGACGTAGCGCAGTATTCACCCGTCCGGAACATGGTGAATTAGAAATGGAAATTTACTGTTAGCCATTCACCTACTCCTGGTACACGTTCTTCGAAAGTTCTCGCTGAATCCATATTCATCATCGCCCGTTCCCTTTTGCCCTACTGGGAACAACTCATCTACCGTCCCTTATGCAAGTTGTCAAGCCCGTGAGTTTCGTGTAAATGCCCAGTTGGCAAATAGCCGCTGGTGACCTACCCCTGGGTGAAATTGACCTCTTCCCACTACCTTGGTCAAGTTACCTACTCCGGAAGTAAGCAATGGGGCGCCTTTCCCGGCTAGGTGCCTCACGATTGGTCTCCGTACATCGCCAGCGTAAACCGAATTCCCCTGTGCGAAACCTGGTGAACGGAAGGTAGAAACCTAGTACCCGTCTTCCGCAGATCACTGGTGTGCACATTCCGAAAACGTCGCTGAAAGCAATTCACCACCGCCAGTAACTTCCTACCCCTACTCTGCTCTAGGACTACCAGGGGGCCGACAACCGTGGACGAGCAAAGCCCCTCTCCCGAAGAGGAAGAGTGCGGCGCGTATACCGTTTCCCATCTCGACGGCGGGAGAAGCGGCCCAGTAGCGCCAAATGCGCTACTCGGGTCCGGCGACAGCCGTCGGCGGAGCGCTAACGCTACCCGCCTGCTAACGCCGCTCCGAAACTTTTCGCTCCACCACTCTCCTTCGCAGGAAAGAATATGGGGTGTCGCCTTCCCTTTTTTTGGTAGAACGCATCTTTTTATAACAATTGCATTACCATTTTTTTTTTCTTTTTTTTTTTCTTTCGGTGCTCACAGGGGCCTGGACCCACTAGCGAAGTATTCTACCACTCCTTTCATGATCTCGATCACGTGTGGCCTCAAGTGACGCAGTACGGCCGTTGAATACATTGGATCTCGACGGCCTGGTAGTTTCCGAGCGGGGACTGTAAAGATGCCCTGGGAGGACATGGGTGGAAAGAGGGGTTTTGAGAGTTCTGTGGGATGATCTAGGTGGAACATGGAAGAGTGTGTAAGAATTGAGGATTAAGTTAGGGAGACTGAGGTTTGTGGAAGACAGGAGGGAAACTATGATCCAGACCTTACCAGAGGAATGAAAACAACTATTGAATGAGGAAGTGTCAGAAGGGAGATGGTACAACCCGACATTAAGTTTGGGAGGGAAGCTGCAGATATGCAGACCCAGGGCTCAAGGTAAGATGGAAGTATTGGAGAGGCAAAAGATGGAGGGTATTACCCGCAACTCCTTAGTGTTCAAGGAGGAACGGGATTCTCCAAAGTTGGGCCTTTTGG